AAGAACTGTTCAAGAGCTGCTGGGCGCAAAAGTTCCGATGGAAGCCGACTGAGTTCCACATAACAGTCCTGCTTATCCTCTGCCAAACCGCTAAAAAGATTTCTTTTTGCTGAAGCGAAACCTTCTCGTATGTTATTTCGTGCCATTGAAAAATACGAAAAACTACATTCACACCATAAACGGCACAGGGAAAGAGCGACTAAATTACATGTGAGGAACATTAGGCATATTAGAGGTTAAAAAAGACGAAGTGAAAATCAATCACTATCAAGTTAACTAGTGAGGTGATAAAAATGAAGCATCCAATAGTTGACATTATGAACTTCTTCCAGAAGGTTCACGTATTCGACATATATTACCATCACTATGACAAAATCAAATTTAGCAGTCTTGATCAGACAAAACCTACTGTTGTGTCGGCAAAGCTGAGAATACTGGTCCATCACGCCCAGTGTATCGTGCAACAAATGCGTGAGCATTCGCTAATCCAGATGTAGGCTGAGTGGTAGCAGCAGCACTGGCTGGCAAAGTATTTGCCAATAGTGGTGGTACAAGAAGGCCCGGAATTGACGGCGGTAATGGTAGTACTTGACCTGGTAGCACTGCAGGAGCAGCAACATTAGTTTGCTGATATATCTGCAAAGAAACAAATCTCATTTTACTGAAATGTAAAATCTAGAAAAAATTTTTAAAAATAAATCTTCATTTAAATTTAAAATTTCTGGTTTTTTACCTAAAAAGATAGATCAGTAGAACGCCTTCTAAGACAGTTAAATAGAAAGGTGATTGATTCCATACCGGAGGGACCTGCGTAATTGCGCTGGAAGCAACTGTTGCTGTTACCACTGCCTGTACGCTAGCGTTATAACCTTGAAAATTATTGTCCTGTTCATACTGACCGAACCGTTCCTCACGACTGGACTGTTGGTATCTGCAAATGGTAGTGACTCTAATTTATTGTTCCGTTTAGCAGAAGATTTTAAGTTGCAGAGATTTTTGGAGCAGAGCTTATTGCAGGTGGGACCCGGCAGTGATCCCACAATGGCGCAAGATGGGACTCTTCGAGCAGGCTTACTTCGAGACGATAGAGACCTCCTTGAAGGACAAATACTTACACAGAACTCGACTGAACAGTTTGTCCCAATACATTGAGCATTTTAGGATCTTGCCATGGTCCAATTGAATGTGCTAGTTGTGACTGTGTTGTTGTTGTTGTTGTTGTGGCTTGACGACTTATCGTGCGAGGTTCATAGCCTCCCTGAGAACCATTTTTCCAGGAATCCGACAGAGGACCATCGGCCGCACGATTCCAAGCATCCTCTGCTACATTCGCTAAAGACCAACTCTAGTTTTATCTTTAAATTCTAATTTTCCTTAATTCGATTAACTTTAATTTGAATTCAGAACATCATCATTTTTTTGTTAGAAATCCTTACTGTTTATTCTTTTCTGATGCTTCTCTGTTCATCCAGGTTATATCCGAGTACCATAAAATAAATGCATATTTATCCTTAACAATTTCATTGCGATAAGGAATACAAAGCATTTTGCAGTTTGCATTTTGATCAAAAGTCCCAGCTGTTTTATGATTTCTAATTTCTTTTACTATTACAAATTAGATTTATTCAGAAATATAATAGTAGAAACCTATTCAAATGAGCATCGCTATCACTGCTATTCTCGAGGATTATTTAAATATAGCAGCAACTTCCTTCACTCGTACTGGCTACGAAATGTGTATTGGTTAAATGCTTCCAACATCTATACTTCCCTAATACATTTCATATAAAAGTGTGGATAAAATGAACTGTGCAAAGAACTCAATGAGTTTTTCTGACAAATTTTAATATCAATTTTCCAGGGTCAAAACACTGGATTAAGGGTGGCAAGCAGGCAAAAGGAAATTGTGTATGGCCGCCCAAATGTTTCGTGTAAACAAAAACAACACAAGATAGTGAGATAAAACCAAACAATAGACTTTCTGAATTCCTTTTTTCTGAATTTTTAGATTTTTTTTTTAATTTAGTCATTTAATTTGTTATTGAATTTCTCATTTTCCAATCTCTTTAAGAAGTTTAGTGCTTATGGAGCGCCCTCTTAACTTCAAATTGTAGGTCACCATTTAACGGAGAATGTTATACTAAACTTTTTTCAATATTCCACTTTTGCATCTTTTTGGCAACACTGGAGACAATGAGATAAAAATGAAACCAGTAAAAAATGCTGCTTGCAAAAAGAGAAAACTAGTAAATATTAAAGAATTGACGGGTTATTCGCCATGCATTATTGAGGTCTTAACGGCCATACACAACTTTAAAGTGTTTTCTATTATCAGTATCAGAACTGTTTCACTTGAAATGCTTCAGTCGATTTTTTAGGAAGTTTGCGTTTTTTTTCAAGTCCAAGGAGATTTTGTTGTGGACCATGAACGGATGAAAATAATGTCAGAAGAATCTAGTGAACATTTTAATTCTTGGTGGAAAAATGCAAGGTGCATGTTATGCGAGAAACCATCAAAACACTTCCCAGTAATCCTTTCTGGTCAATAGCTAAAAAGATCTGGGTTGCATCTAATATAATGAATTTACTAGTCTACGGAAATTTAAAAAGAATTTTTACAAAGAGGGAAATTTAGATCGTAAAACAATTGTTTAATATCCATAGCTTTATATTCTTATAGAGTAATGAATAAGTTATTAATCTGTTAACCTACGATCTAATTACATTTTAAACAGTTTCAGAATTGTTTGCTATTAGTGTTCGAACTTGCGGATTTTTCTTTTCCGCGCCGATCTGTCAACTCGGTCTGGTGTGAAATCAGGACAATCAATTTAAGCCAAAAGAAAAAATCCCAAAATTCTCAATGAAATAATGCGATCAAGAATAAAAAGGTTTCATTTTCACTTATTATTTAGGAAATAAGTGTCCTATCTCCAACACCGATATGTGCAACCCCCTACCAAAATGATACTTTTCTTTAAATCTTTTTTTTTTAAATTTTCAAATGCCAAGGAGGAAATCGCAACCCTCATCACTTGGAAACGCTTATTATTTATTTGGTTTGTTATAAAACTAGGCAAAAAATTCTGCTGGCGAATTCAATTTTTTCTTTAATTCAAAATCATAACATTCAATCATTACTTGTCATATAAGGTGACTACCGCTTAGCACTTAGACCGAAAACGTTTTTGGAATTGTTTTAATGAAATTTTTTTTAGAATTATTCGTATTAAAACTAAGAATATTTCTTGCATAAGAAATGCATCGATTGTCAGAGCGAGTCCCGTTATTTTTGGCTGGTAAAAAAGACAACTAATTTTATACCTGCGTGAAAAACAAAACTAAGGACAGTCATCTCAATGACAACCTTCTTATGCCACTGCTTTTTTGTATGTATCGATGCGGGTCTTATCCGACACATACAGTCATTATTACAAGCAGCTTTTGTTCTTATACCACTCGCTGCAGCGGATAGAAAAAAAGATTTTTCAATATAGTGCGACACATTTAACTTGAAACAAGGCTAAGCAATTTTCGAACTAAATCGACATGACTGATAGGAACATGTGCATGTACTTGCAACTTTTATCAGCTAATTAATCTTTTACTGGAGTATAAGATGATGCCATGAAGAGCCGCCTGCTTTTTGGCGATACTGGTAATTCATAAGAATATGTAATCAACATTTTATATACTTAAGGAAACTCCATTTACTATCAGGATGTACAACAGTGTATTATTTGAATGTGCCAGGATAATAATTCTAGTTATACCAATATCCTACCTAAATTTAAATCAAGAATATTTTCAATTTAGTATAAAGTTTTACAAACTGTTGATCAGTTTGATAAAGCTCGAATGACAGAGGAGTTTTATTATCGCAAAATTAATAAATGTTAAATTTTTCTACAGTATTTATACTCGCCGCCTCAAACAGTTCACGTTCTAAATTAGGCAACTGTTCATTCTGCCCCCAACTGATCACGTAGCACTTTGATGAACGTGAATAATAGAAACAGGAATTTTAATTTGCAGAATTCTGAACTTTGCATTTTTCCGAGAAACTTTGAGATTTAAACGTTATAAGTGGAACGTCGAACTCCAAATTAAAATTCTTAAAATCTTCAGCAATATACCTCTTGCATAATCCTGTTGTCCATGTCCACCATTCCTTGTTGCATAGACGTCCGTGGCAGCCGGCTGTGATTGAGCAACATGTTGATTTCCAAAGTTTTCCGCTGTAGAAGCGGGCGGAATTTGGACGCCGCCTGGACGTCCTGCCGGAGAACTATCACGTCTAAGCGATGGAGTAGCAACGGATGCAGTCGAAGCTACCCCAACGACATTCAGATCCCCGGCACGAGCTTTTGCAATGACGGCGTCCATCTCGACGCGTGACGACAACAGTAAACGCACACGTTGGTCATGTATGCGCCGATTATCGAAACGCATCGCTTGACGAGCATCTTCATCAGTGGCAAAACCAATGAAAGCATCACCATCTGGCCCACCAACAATATGTACGGCACCATCCGGTATCCGTAATCCAGCGAAAAAACTTCGGATGTCTGCTGCATTCGCAGATAACGGTAACCGTTGTAAACGAATTATCCAAGACATTAAGACTACCTGAATCACAAGTGTACCTTACTAATTGCCAGCAACGCTTCGCGACACGAGTTAAAGAAACGCTCCTTCCATTACTTCGATTTATGTGTTTGGTTGGTAAACTGCTGTGCCTTAGACCCTCTCTAAATAGCAAATTAATGTTTAGGCAAATAAAATAATTCTGCCTGTTAACCAAGAAACATTCTGAATTAGCAATCTGCAGGTTGTTGGTACCATTGCAATCTCTGTAGTTCGTAACATGAAATTTCATTTGATTTTCAAGATAAATTTTTCTTTCAAATTCAAAAATTCGACGGCTGCTTGCGTCTATTAATTAAATTTAGTTGAAGATTGAAAAAAGCGAGAATGAAGAATGCAAGACAGTTCTGTGGATGACTTACAATAAAGTGAATAATATCGAGAAGGGAGAGGAATGCACCAGGTACATAATGCACCAAAGCACAAGTATATATTAGATTCAATTAAGTTCAAATCCAATTAATTTCAACAAAGGCAAATTTTACTTACTTTTAAAAGGAATTAAGAAACTGTGCATGCATGTAAATGTGCATATTTAAATGTGCATATTTTCTTCACCAAATTTATTTTGCTGACTACACCCAAAAATCCCACTTTGTCTTGAACTTTTGTGAAATCTAACGGTTCGTCCGTTTCTCTTCCATAAAACTTAACTTGGGAAAAACAGTTGCTGATGAAGAGCAAAAATTGGCCGGAATGAACAAAGTGATGGAGCGAAGGATGCTCTCCATGTATTCCATCACCAAAATACAAGTAATCTGATGGTTCCGAAAATTCAAGAAACAAAATCAGCGTTAAACCAAATTCTGATTCCACATTTCGATGCTTTTCAAATCATTTTATCTTCGGACGAATGTTGATAAGTCGGCAGATTCAGCTGGGATATTCCGACACCTTTAAATCGATGGGTGGGTTAAATTTCAAGCAATTCAGACTTCTAAAAACTAAAGATCAAACTTCAAAATCTATAACCAAGCACTGTAATATCAGATTATGAATGATGAAACAATTTTCCTTCATTTCCATACACGCATTTTGGAATTTATGTTCAGATACTTTGGCAACCAGTGGTCACGAACATCACCGATAATTTCATGTAAATATTTCAAAATCAATCTGCATGCACTTTAACAAACAAAGTATTTAACTTTGCGAAATTTATATCACCTTATGCTACAAGAAAGTCAGTCTATTCCCAAGATAAAGCATAGAAAGTATTGCATGTGAGCGCGTGTTTAAAAAACGTAGGATTGGATGACCTACCACTGGTGGTTTGGTGACCTACCAGACATACAGTAACTGAGAAAACAAATTTGTTTTTACAAACACGCAGTCTGACTTCTCAAATTTGAAATACCAGAATGTTATGCGACATGCAGGATCATGTCTATATTGCTGATCAAATTCTTTCAATCAAAACTTTACATGCCAGGTTTTTGAACATGGGAAAATTCGAAGAAATGCAGAGTACAGTGTTAAAGTATGGAAATATATGACCAATCAAAACAATAGCTCTCGAGATGAAGTATGGGGATATATGACCAATCAAAACAATAGCTCTCGAGATGAATTACAGTGTAAGGTTCAGCTGACGAAATGAAAAGTTTCTTTAGTGATTTTATCACGGATGAACAGTAAAGCTTCCCATCGATGGTTCCAGAGGAAAGGACTGTCACCTCCCTTTTACTCTTCCATAAAAATATTTAGTATGTTAGGACGACTTAACACAACGTTAATTACGCGACAACCACACAAGTACCGCAATCTGCTCCCCAAAAGCCCGAAAAATAAGAGCAAACCACACGACAACGCCAGCCCTACGATTACCCAAAAAAAAAAAACAGTTCCAACGTTGAAACCGGCCCACCGCAATATGAAAACCTCCCATCTCATATAAAATCCTCATAGACCTTCCTAAAAAAATAACGCCGTAATTAGAAAAATAACACGGTCATAATAAATCATCGAAAGCAGTCAAAGAGTAAAATTACGTTTGCTGCAAGAGTTTAAAGTTTTATCAGCTCGGGCATTTATATTAATGTCGTAAAATTTACGCCACTACCGGTAAGAATTTTAAAGGTTTAAACAAATTAAAATTGAAATGGGAATTAAGCGGGAAACTAAATGATTGTAGAAATTCCAAAAAACTCGAAGATCATATGCACGTTATATATTTAAGGAGAGAGAAGTCGCGTGTTTAAAAGATATAGCTGGCATTGAGATTATTAGGTTATTTTGGTGTGAATAAAATAATTCAACATTACTTGAGGATAAGTGGCAATTTCACGACCATATATCAAGCAATTTTATTGAAATATTTAAGCAATGCGATATTTGAATAGCAGTATGACGAAGCACAGTCCGGATCCATACTGCGAACACACTTTAAATCAAATCAAATTTCTGTGCATTTATCAGTTCGGATTATTGCACTTGTAGTGCCATTCGACGTTTAAAACTTTAGCAAATTCCCTGTTCTCAATCAACATTTCTCTTTCAAAAATATTTTACTGCCGAGCTACGCAAAAATCATTGTTCAAAATGGGATGCATTGCAGTTTAACCCCAAACCCCCTTTCCTTGATTATATTTTACAACACAAACGAACCTGTGCCCCTAATATCTTACTTCTCCCTATTATTCTCAGAAATGTTATTGAGGGTATCTCGAACATGAAATATCGTTGGCGACTGGCGATAATATGACGAAGTGATGAACCAATACGTTAGTACTCTGTTAAAGTGAGAAGCAGGAAGGACGACGAATATGAAATGATAATTAAGCTAAATGTTTAAGGGATAAATGCAGAGTAGGAACCCGGACTAACCTCCAGCTAAACAAACACTGATTTTGTCCTACGCTAGGATGAGCCATCAGCTTCACACCGTCCACCAAGAAAATCAAAAGAATTGGCTCCTGATTTTTGAAATTTTTAGAATAAAACTCAGAATTTGTGATAAATGTTATGAACACTTAAGAAAGAAAACAGTTCCACGCATATTTATCGACAAAAGTAAATAATTCTTCCCGTGGAAACATGCCAGTAATGCAGCATTTCCTAACAATAAGATGTAAAAATAAATTGGTTATCTAGACAAAAAGGAACACGAAATGTGAAGGAATAGAGCCGAACAGCCATTTCTCCGATCAATCCTTCCCTAAAGCGAAGATACAATATATATTCCCTGCCCTATCAGAAGCACTGCACAACTTCGGGAACTGTCAACGGAAAAAGGCAACGCTTAAAGAGTAGATCAGACGATTTTTAGGCCCTTAAAGACAAGCACTACATTCTGCTGTGATGTTTTATGCGCTGAACTGTAAGAAGTGAAGGGAATCGGAAGCTGATCGCTTATTTTGGAGATAACAGGCAGGAAATATATATTAACGTGAATTCCGGATCACTTGATAACTTCTCGGACAGAAAAATACCGCTGCATAATTACGGTTTAAAGATCAGACTTGAGAGAGATTGGAAAAGCTGCTTCCGATCTCCGAAGCCAGTTATCCACCAGTTCTCGATTCGAACCAAACATAACCAACCTGCAGAACGACGTAGTTGAGTATAGTCGGCATTATTCGACGGAGTCCACATATCGGAGAGGGGCTCCTTCTCTCCTTCTCCCTCTCTCAAATACTTACTCTCTCTTCCTCCCCTTTCCTCTCGTAATCGATAAATCGATTGATACATTTGATGAGCAGACTTTTAAAGTGTTGTAGGAATGCATTTGGCGCGATGGAAATTTCAAATGGCGATGGGAAAGGTAAGCAGACGACAGTGACTTCCTCTGGAGGTCGAAGGTTACAAGTCGTTCTTGGTCATGAGCGAATTGATCTCTGCTTCCAAGGAAAAGACAGATACAGATGG